AAGGGGTTGAGTGGGGAGTCTCCTGCTGGGTGACCTTTCAGAAAGTCGGGGGTTCCCGGGAAGGGTCGGCGCCAGGTATGGGTGTTACCAGCTCTCAAATGCTCTTTGAGGCCATGGGTTTGGATGAGATCACACAGGGTGAGTGTGCACACAAAGAAAGGAGGGGGCGCAGGACAGAGCCCCAGAGGCCTCCAACTTTGAGAGGTAGATCCAAGAAGGACGAGGCACCAATGAAGTCAAGAAGGAGCATCCATGAGTTCACTGGCACCCACCTCTGTGTACGGAGGGCCCCAGGGGCTTAACCCTGACTGGGACATCCTGTGAAGCTGGGGCGGGGCCGACGGCTCCTTCCCCAGGAGACCCGCAATCGGGGGAGGGTACAGCTCAGTGCTAGAGCGCATGCTTAGCATGCATGAGGTCCTGGGTTCAACCCCCAGTACCTCCATTAGAAACAAGTAAATAGATAAATAACCCTAATTACCTCCCCGCTCCAAAAAATAAAAATTAAAGGAAGAGAGAACCACCATCTGCAAGACTACAGTCTTGAGTTCCTATCCAAGTGCCCGGCCCTGACACAGGTAAGGGAGCAGGCTGAAGGCCCTTCAGAAGAGCTCCCACTCCCCTGACCTCAGTGTGCCCACGGACAGGTGTGCACTTACACCAACTCAGAGCCACCATCTGTGTTTCCTGGAGACGGTTCAGGGTCGCAAGGAAGTTGTAACTCCTCTGTTCATCTCAAACTGTGGTTCCTACCCCATGTTCCAGAGCAAGCATGCGGACATTTTCAGTATTTCAAAGCCAAGTTGAAACTTTGACGTTCGTTTGGCAGCTCTGAGGAGGTCACGGGCTACTCAGTGTAAAAGGCACGTGGGATTTTTGGGTTTGCTTGCTTATCTCACTCTCGATGAAAAGCCTAATTAAGTCAGTACGCGAACACTGTCAGGTGACCCAGAAGCTCCAAAGGAAACAATGATTCCTCAATTCTCAAATGACAAGATGGGCTGTTACTTGGTCAACTCATTTTTTTTTTAAGGTTGACATAATTATCCACAACATGTGGACGGGAGAAGGAAATTGATTTCAGAAGTTTCTCAGAAGTAAGTAGTTCAGAAAGTATTATAGGACAGACATCATCAAGATTGCTCAAGTGTTAACTAATGTTATATTCAAAATATACATTGGACGCTGCCTCTATTCACAATTCCCTTTCATGGAACAGCCTTGTGACAAAGGCGAAATTTACCCATATTGAAATCTAAACAGGACAGTTATGCTGCAAACACATTTCCTTCAAAAAATGAGAGAAACGAAAAGTAGCATCACTATTTCCTAAACCCCCAAATATTATATTATTATTATTTTTTCAAATGCAGACTGCAGCAGAACTTAACGTTCCTACGATTAAAAGGAATCACCTATTGAACTCTGTGAAGTGACTTAGTCACAGCCACTCTATCAAGGTGGCTCACACACAGATTTCATTAGTGAAACAGACCTGACTGGGGAATACAGTGGAATTGCTGAGCTCAAAGCATACAGATCTTTTTGTGTGGTTTTGATTAAGAGTGGAAATCATTACTGTTCAGACAAGACACTCTCTTGATCAGTGAGCTTGAATGGTGTGATGCCTCTGTGCCTGCATATATCACAGGAGTACGTGCGAGTTCTCAGCTTTAGAAAACAAGGTGTGTTGACATTCAGAAGTCTTTCTGTTTGTTTGTTTGAGGGGGAGGTAATTAGGTTTATTTTATTTATTTGTTTTATTTTAACAGAAGTACTGGAGATTGAACCCAGAGCCTCGTGTATGGTAAGCATGCGCTCTACCACTGACCTAGACCCTCCCCGCCCGACATTTAGAAGTCTTTGGTCATTTCCCGTAGCTAGATGGAAACCACGTCTTTTTTTTTCTTTGAGCATCATACTGTAACCATGTTTCACTGTGAACTTGATTTCAACTAAATTTGACAAAGGGATAATATTTTGCAACAGAGTGGCGGCTGAGATATTAATACAGTGTCATGCACTGATGGTATTCCTAGCAGTCAAGCAAAGCATTTCCAGCACACCCAATGCGTCTGTTAGAAATACCAGGGAGCAGCTATGAGCACGCTTTTCAGATTGTATAAGAACCCCAGTTCCCAGCCATCACTCAGACCTCTGACTCTCCCTTTCTGATCCAACCTCACCGTCCACTTAATGTCTCCGAAGAGCCAACTATCAAAGCAAAAGGCCGATGCCAACCCCTCCTCTTGCTCGTGAGGTTTTCCTCAGATTTATCAGCTGGTGGTCATCTGGTCATCTGTCCCTGAACTGAGGCTCCATCGCACTGTATCTGTAACTTTCTTAAATAACGTATTACTTGCTAAAACCACTTTTATTACTGTGATTTATGTACACGTCTCACCTGCAGCCACTAAGCTACTCTGGAAACTAACAGACCTTCGTCGGGAGAATGAATGGTCGGGGGAACCGATGCATGAAATGCAGTCTGCAACTCCATCTCGAGAGATGCTATCA